GGAGCCGGAGGGAGCACCTTCCCAGAGGCGTCCACCCGAAGCTCCGACTTCATTGAGGAGTCGGTAGTGGCGTACTTGTGTGCTATAATCAGCAGCTCGTCGAGTGTAGCCGGCTCGTCGCAGAGGAGTCGGTGCTTGAGGAGGGTGCCTTCTCAACACCCGGCAGTGAAGTACTCTATATCTTTCACCTCGTGCACCCCTTCGCAGGAGTTGCAGAGTTCGGCCCACCGCGCCAGGTAGTCGTGACTGGACTCGATTGGGCCTTGGACGCACAGAGAGAGCTGGCGAGGCTTGGGCGCCCGCTTGGACGTGTTGGTGAAGTTGCGGATGAAGATTTTAGTTAAATCGACCCAACTATTAACGTTGTAGGGCTTGAGGCTGTTCAGCCAGGTGCGTGCCGTGGCTTGAAGCATGAGGGGGTCGTACTTCACGGCAACACGCCTGTTGCCGTTTGCTATGCTGACTGCGGTGGAGTAGTCGATCAAGCAGTCTTCCGGCTTCACCAAGCCGTTGTACTTGGGTGTGTCTCTTGGCAGCGAGAACCCTTTGGGGAAGGGCTCGTCGCGAATGCGGGGGCCAAAACAAGGCGGGCCAACCGCATCCTCTTCTTCTAGCGCCAGGTATCGTGCCAGGCGGTCGATCCGATGGCGGGCATCGTTTGCTTCGATTCCTTCCTGGTGGCCCAGCCGGCTGCTGAGCATCGGGTGTTCAACAGGCTGCGGGGAAGGATATCTCTCCTTGCGAGGTGGAGGAAGAGGCGGACAATCGGTTCACCGCTCCACGGCTCATGGGCGTCCGTCTTTGTTGCGCTCAATGCCGAGGTGTGTCCGACTGCGGCTAGCAGCCGGCTCTCTGTCTTTTCGCTCGCGGGCGCCACCTGCAGTCAGCGTCTGGGAGGTCGCGTCGTGCTCTCAGCGGAGGGGAGGATTCTCGGTGCAGGCGCCGGCTTCATGCCGCTCGACAGCCGTGTCGATGAGCTGCTGGATGCGCTCTGTCATGTAGCATCGTTCGTCACCGTCCAGGTTCTCTAGCTCGTCTGCTGCCGCCTGGGCAGGACACAGGTTCTCGATGGGTGTGGCGTAGACTAGGCGGTCGGCCCCCAGCATGCTGGCGATAGCGGCACCACGCTGTTTGATAGTGCCCAGGCGGCTAGGCCCGCCAGCGGCATGATCAACCTCGCGCTGATAGGCCTCGGTGAGGCGTCTCATGGAGGCTAGCTTCTTGCCGCTCTCAATGAGCGCAAGGCAGTGGGCCTCCAGTGTATTGGCATCGGCGTCGCCTGCGATGGGTGCAGACAGGTCGGGTATTGTCGCCTGCAGCGCGTCGGGGGCGTCCGCACCGGATGCTGCGCTGTGGCTAATGACGAGCACCTCGGTGACGGTGCTGCCGCCGCTGTCGACATGAGGGAGGGGGTCGTCGATGACCACTACGTTGGTGGGGAAGGCGTCAAGGGATGCCATGTCAGAGTCGACAAGCATCGGGTCGGTGGAGCCAATCTACTCCAAGTCGGAGGTGGGCTCGCTGGCGATGTCAAGCTTGCCAAGGAGGTCGATGAGGCAGCTCTCGGAGCTGGCTGCGCCGTGCCCGGTGCGGGCTCGTCGGAGAGGAGGATCTCGCCGAGGAGATCGGTGAGGCAGCCTGCTGCATAGGCGGCTTCGATGCCATGCAGCGCGTCAATGTAAGCGCCATCGGGCGTGCTGGGCTGGCTATGCTCGGTGGGAAGGAACAGGGTTCCCGTCCAGAGCAGGTCTCCGGACGACGGTGCACCTAGCCCCACGGTGGGCGCCAAATGTTAGGTGGTTGGTGCGACATATGCCAAGGGATGACTAATCATTGTGGGGGCTAGTAAGACGTCACCAATGCCTGGAAACGGGATGAGGCGAAGACATGCACGCCGACGGGTTCGGGGCTCTCCTAGGAGATAACACCCCTAGTCCTGCTCTGCGGGGTCTCCACATGATCACTAAGTCAACAAGTAGCTACAAGTTGCTCCTTGAGCTGTTCGGCTAGAGGAGGAAGATGGGCAAGGCTAGCTCTACTCCTCTCTCTATGTGTGTATGGGAAACTCTAAGAGATCAACCCTTTGCATGGGTGCTCTGGGGGGTTTATATAGGCTTACCCCCCAGGGGTACAATGGTAATCCGGTCGGGTGTAGGCCCAGGCCGTCGGTGTCTTTGGTCGCCGGGTTCTCCGCCGGCCACTGGGGCCCGCCGACTGGTGGGTCCTGCCGGTTGCCAGGCTCTAGGCCAACAGGTTGGCCCCATCGCCTGTGGGCCCTGTCGGCTGCTCATCACTGTGCCCTCGCCCCTGATGACGGTGGCTTGGTCGGGCCGAGCGTGGCCACAGTACCGCCGCCTGGTGGGCGTTCACTGTAGCCACACCCCGTCTTATCTGGTTAATGGCCCACAAACTTCGAGGGGAGAGGAGGGCCGGCTGTTCGGAGCCGGCCTCCTCCTCCGCCGACTGGTCTAGGCATGTCGCCTTCTAGTATCTCACTGGTAGGTAGGGTCCGCCACCTGCGGGCCATACCGACAACCCGTCGTGGGAGTATGGCAGCTCTGCCATGGATGATGTCATAGTCAACGTGGCAATAATGCCGCGTCGGGCTAGGGATGGCCGCCCGGTACGGCGCACTGTGATCACGCCCGCTCCGGGATTCAGGGGTGACAGTCTACACTGTAGCCACGCCCCGTCTCGTCGCCGTTATGTGGGTGCAAACTTTAAGAGAGCATGGGTGGGCCGCCTGTTAGGAGTCGGCCATTCTGGTGGCCGTCTGCTAGGAGTCGGCCCACTTTGGGACCGCTCATTGAGCCTTGCCACCTTCCTGCAGCCACGGAAAGGCGGCTCTTCGTCTTGGATGCTTGAGGGGCGCAGCCAACCCCTATGTCTTGAAACGCCATGAGAGGCAGATAAGACTATCCGTGGTCATTTACTCCGACATCTGAGGACACAAAAGTCTCTGCCTTCTTATCCTTGAGATAAGTTCCTTGAAACTCACCCAATTACTCGGGGTAGATCTTGCGATGATCTTCGGGCCGTAAAAAGAATCATTCTTTGGCCATTGCACACTGGAAGCTGAGTGACTCCTAACCGGCTGGAAAATGCATAGTCTTCAAGAGTAACAAATCTCAGTAGACTTTGATCAATTTCTTTGTGGCGCTTTAGGAATTGGTTGGTTTTTCTCACTTACAATATCTTGAAATTAGTGCGTGCAGTGATGCTCTCTGTGTAACACTAGGCAGGAATTTTTCTCGAGCAACCACCTGCTATCTGCGAGGTTAGATTTCTATTGATAGTTGCATCCCATGGTTGGCTAGCGATATGTCTGTTAGACATGGGCACCTAGCAATGTGTTGTTGCTAACCGTGATATATCTATATCTATATCTATATCTATATCTATACCAATATAAAAAGGCCCAAAGGGACAGATCCAATTAATCTTGGTCATCAAAACATGTCAATCCAACGACCTAAACTGCTTCAATGTCGAGCGCTCAACATGTTTAGCGTGCAATTAATTTCATGTCAAATATAGTGCTAATCACATGATAACACGGAAATAATAGATCCTAAAAAAACACAAATAATATCCTACTTAATATGCGCATGCATTTAATATACTTCCGAATTAACGTGCATTGCATGTACATATTGACTAGTAATAGTAAAAAAATTGAACTCTCAAATTCACCTGTTCCTCAAAACTTAGGACAACCTCAATGGCCACTTTCCTAACTCCTTAGCGAAGAAGTCGAACTCAGGTGTTTCAGAAAATCACCTTCACCACAAGAGCTCGAAGACTTTTCCTGAAAAGAGATTTTCAAGTCTTCACTCATTAGCATAGATAGGTTTGTTTGATCACACTCAAATACTTTCTATCTTGCTTCACTTTGACCCCCTTAACAGTACGGTTTTTTCCACGACTCAAAAAAGAATAAAAGAAACTAACAGATAATCCCTATTCTTCAAACTTCAATTCTTTAGAGGGCACTATGAGTTGTTAAATGTTATCACAACATTTTTAGGGGTCATAACCCATTATTTTAACCAAATCATCGGGGACTTCATCTGTGTGTACTCACAAATGCATTAGTTTTTTAATAATTTTATCATTAATCATCCAAAACCCACAAAGGGCACTAAATGCACTTACACTTTCAGCTTTTCTGTGGAGACCAAATCATTTGGATCAACATTTTTACTACTTTTGGGTGGTCTTTTCTCACTTCTTTTGTTTTGACTCGGTAGCATCCATCTAATGTGAATTTTCAACCCGCGTTCAAATACTGCAGCTATCTAGCCTAGCAAATCAAGTTCTCCTGATGCTGAAATTCCAATGACATAGCTCTATGCTATTGTCTTCTCGAATTGCCCACTTCATAATTGTCCACGAAAAGCATATTGTCCATATGCGATGTGTTTAATAAATATTTCATAACATTACATATCTAGCGAGTTAAATTGATGATCCAGAAGTACGCGGATGCCTTATGCACCGGAAGGAGTGGTTACTTTCGTTCGTGGTACACGCCGACTGAGAGTTTCGAGCTGTCATTTGCTCGAAGCAAAGAAGTCGACCTTTGCGAGCCGAAAGAAGTATCCGACGAGTTTCCCAGATTGTCTTCTTCCCGGACGAAAGATAGCTCTCATCTTCTCACCTGTGTGTCATCACTTACTGCTTCGAGAACGAGCTGAGACGTGGCAACCCGGACGCGCCCAGCGCCTGCACACGTCCGCCCTCTCTTTATGGGCAAGCCACCAGTCACCGCCCCCCAGCCCCACGACCCACCCGCGCGAGCACACGTACCACCCTACCGTGGCACTCGATCCGTCCGACCCGTCCGGCTATCTTTATCCCCTCGCCACAAACTGCTTTATAAATAGTGCCTCGTGCTGCACCTGCTTACACAACAAAGTGTACCGACAAAAAGAAGTACAAACAGCAGCATACTAGATTTTGATTCCCCCTGTGACAAGCTCAGCTCAGCGCAGCGCAAGATGGAGTACCAGGGACAGCAGCAGCGCGGCCGCGTCGACGAGTACGGCAACCCGGTGGCCGGACATGGCGTCGGCACCGGCATGGAGACGCACGGCGGCGTCGGCACCGGCGCGGCCGCCGGTGGGCATTTCCAGCCCATGAGGGACGAGCACCAGACCGGCCGTGGGATCCTGCACCGCTCCGGCAGCTCCAGCTCCAGCTCGGTGCGTATATACGGTGCTTCTTTTGCTGATACTACTAGCATACATGGTTTGTGTTTTGTATACTGATTTTTCTCGTTGGTCGTCATAGTCTGAGGATGATGGCATGGGCGGGAGGAGGAAGAAGGGCATCAAGGAGAAGATCAAGGAGAAGCTCCCCGGTGGCCACGGTGACCAGCAGCACACCGGTGGCACCTACAGACAGCAGGGTACTGGCATGGTCGGCACCGGCGGCACCTACGGGCAGAAGGGTCACACTGGGATGACCGGCACCGGCGGCACCTACGGGCAGCAGGGTCACACTGGGATGACCGGCACCGGCGGCACCTACGGGCAGCAGGGCCACACTGGGATGACCGGCACCGGCGGCACCTACGGACAGCAAGGCCACACCGGGATGGCCGGCACCGGGGCGCATGGCACCACGGCCACTGGTGGCACCTACGGGCAGCCGGGCCACACCGGGATGACAGGCACGGGGGCGCACGGCACCGGAGGCACCTACGGGCAGCACGGCACTGACACCGGCGAGAAGAAGGGCATCATGGACAAGATCAAGGAGAAGCTCCCAGGCCAGCACTGAGCGCTGAGGAGAGCCCGCGGCCGCCACTTCTGAGAGTGGAGGTGCCGGTCGACCACCGTTGCAGAATCAATAATAAGATCGCGATACGATACAATAAAATTCCACCATACAACGTGAGCCTAGTTCACCTAGCTCACTTGCGTGTTGGAGGAGCCACTGTATCTAGGCTCAAGTTTACGTGAACAAACAGTGTTTTGAGTTTTTCGTCTGTTTATTACACTGTATAATCTTGTAAGTTTCCTGTGGTTAAACCCTGTATGTACGCTTTACGGTATGGTCCTCGCGTACAGGTTAGTTCTTTATCAAATAAATAATACCGTCTTAAGAGTAGCTTAAGAGCGTCATATGTCTTTTCTTTTTCAAGGAAAGCCCCATGGCGCACTTCATTTATTATTAAAAAGGACTACATCATTGAAAACATCACTTCTAATAAAACTCGGGAGTATCACCCTCCCAAAAACTATGAATTTGAATCAAAAGCATATCTAGCAATCTTGTGCGCCACCCCATTAGCTTCCGTAGAACAATGAATAACCTTGATAGAGCCATGCACTTGGAATTTGTGGAAACATTCCATCAGTATAGCAGCATATGGACCTAGCACCTCTGTCTCACCATTACATACTTCAGCAATCACCAGGCCGGTGGTTTCAATTTTCCCCTTTTCATTTTCGTTTTATGAACTTCTTTCAAATTCTCGAATACTTGCTGAAATCATGAGCATTTTTGCAATTCATGAATATATTTTAAAATCATGAACATTTTTTGAAATAATAAACATTTTTCGAACACCGGACATTTTTTTATGAAGTCCCGAGCTTTTTCTGAAATTGTGAAATTATTTAGAGTATGCAAACATTTTTAGGAAGTTTTCGAATCGACGAACAGTTTTCTGAGCCGGCAATCATTTTTCAAAATTTTGGTAAAAAAATAAATTCATGAATATTGTTTTGTTTATATGAACATTTTTAGAAAATGCATGAACAGCTTTTGAATTCATGAACATTTTTTGACTCAGCGAGCATAATCGATGAACCTTTTTGAAATTGGGGAGCAAAATTAGAAATCATGATTTTATTGAATTTTGTTTTCTGTATGTAACAAAAAAAATATAAATTCTCCAACATGTTCCAAATATGCAATCGTTATTTTAAAATTATGAATATATTTTTATTTCCTGAATATTTTTGTGAAATCATGATTTTTTTTATAATATCCAACAGTTTTATAAAATCACCAGATTTTTTTGAATTCGTGAATATTTTACATTTTTCTGAGCTTTTTTGAATTCACGAACATTTTGTTTCGAAACTCGCAACTTTTTAAAATTTGACAACCCCCAATAATTTTAATGAAGGAAAAACAGAAACAAAATTGAGAAAATGAAAGGTAAGAAAACAAGCGCTTCCTATTCAGAGAGAAAAAGGGAGAGAATAAGGAATGAAACTAGGATCGAACTCCTGTCTCCAGGATAGAAGAGTGAGCCTTAGCTACTGTGGTGCTTATGCGCTTGTGATATTTAAGGATATCATCGTATAAGGGTGTGTCTGGTTGAGGAACAAACTGTCACGGAATGAAATGGTTCCATTCCAGAGGAACGGGTCGGTTTCGTTCCTGTATTTGGTAGGTGCAAAGAAGTAGAACGGGTTGGTTCCGTTTCAGTGTTTGGTTTGAAAGAATGGAATGAAAAATAGAATAACAGAAATTCAAAATTTTGGCAGCATTTCATTTGTATTTTCAAAAAAAACAACATAACAATATATATTGACATAGAACTCAATTTTCAGCAATGAAGTAGCAAGTTCATTTGGTACATCCAGAAGCAATCAGCCATTACATGTCTTTAACATACAAATAACCAAAGCAAAGTGCACTACAGCCATACACCATTACATAGCAGCACATATTGAAATAAAAATTGGGTAACCATGGATCTGCGTACTACACAGAAGCACATATATATGAAACAAATTGAGGAGGAACATGGCACACAGGAAATAAAATCTGCCCAAACATGAACATATACAGAGATATGCAAAGGGGTAGTGGAAACTGCACCTTGCCTCCGCTGCTAGCTGCTGATCTAGACCTTCTGCAGCACCTCCGGTCGCCCCTACGTGGTAGCCGCCCCGCTGCTTCGTCGCTGCTCCTAGGATCTGGATCGTGGCCGATCTGATTTGTCGTTGCTGCTTGCTAGGTCGCCGCCATGATGCAGATGCGCGTCATCACAGAGGAGACGACGGGAGGAAGGTGAAGCCGGGCCGGGGAGGGATGGAGAAGGCAGATCGAGAGGGGGGAGAAGCGGGAGGGTGGCGGTGCTAGTCGAGGAGCAGCGAGAGAGGGGGAGATGCGGGAGCAGCGAGAGGAAAGCGATAGGGTACGGGTGCGGGGCGAGGGGCTCGTTCCCTGTCGTCCGGCCGATTTCGAGGTATGCCTCGGTTCGGCATAATGAGCGAATATTCCCTTTCCTGGGACGAGTGGGTTCTGAATTGTTCGACTTACTAAACGCTGGAATGGGCCGTGGGAATGGGTCGGACCCATGACGTTCTACCCGGTGACAACAACCAAACACACCCTAAGAACCAAAGCTGACAACGACTTTGAAAGAAAAAAAATTGAATCGTTTTCTTCACTTATAGTTGATATAGTTAGTAATTTATGGCTGTTTTGGGGGTAATTTTAGGGTGGACGGGCGAAACTCCGTCTTAGATACAGTTGTAGAAATACATGAGTAAAGAGAATATAAATGTTATGAATTTAGTTCAAATAGAAATGGTTGAAGACTAATACTAGGCTTTTGCTCTATGATTACATTTGAAGTCATTTCAAGTACTGACATGTTCACCACTAAGGGCATCACCAAAGCGGACCCACAAATCGCTTGCAATTGTCTGGACTGCTCGGTCCGGGCGTGTTTTGCATGCAACACGGGTCTATACCGGTCTGTCGAGTGGTTCGAACATATTTTTTCCCGTAAATCAGAGACGAACTGGGGGCGGGGCCGGGAGTCCAGACAACACCCATGTAGGACTCTGACACCCCCGGCCACCCAAAACCCCACCAAAACCACTCCCGACCCCGTGCCTTCATCCTCCCATTTTCTCTCCCTCTGTTTTTCTCTCTTGCCTTCACCGCCGCTCCATCATGCAAGCATGTGTTGCAGTTGTTCGTGGACCTACTAAACAATGGATCCGAAGGCCTTGTGAGAGATGATGACCTGTTGTGTAATCATCCACAAAATGATCATGGAGGATGATGGTGAGGATGTTGTCGTAGTTCTTGAATTTAAGAACATGGGTGATCCTATCAAACTTACAGACCAGAATTTGTCCACATTTGAAGAGTTTGTTGAAATGCATCAACAAATTCGTCATCGAGAAACTCACTAGCAACTGAAGTAAGATATGATTAAGCATATTGAGCAGTTAAAGGGGACAACGATGTTGGGTGTAATAATTGAACTATTTTAAATTAGAACTACTACTCATTTGAACATTTGAACTATTCTAGACTAAATATATGGCTATTTGAGCGTGCGAACTTAAAAGAAATTGGGCCCGGATGTATGCGGATAGTGTGTTAAATGATCGGCTCCTGCATCCGTGTTCACGGACTAATCCCTGATCACGGACGGACGCGGGAGAAAATTTGCGAGTCAGCATTGGAGATGCCCTATTATGGCTTTGCTATCATCATATCATCATCATCATCATTATTAATACTTGTACTACTACTGTTACTATTATTATTATGGAATTTGTGGGACTAAAGTTGGATTGCGGATTGGAGCCATCTTGCTCAATATATTTGTGTTTTTGTTTTGTTTCTCTTCATTACAAATTACATTGTTATGAGGGAAGGTATATCACCCCACTCCATCGGTCCAGCCAGTCTAACTTTATATCAGTAGGATGCCTTTCCAGAGATAGGTACCCTTGTGATTTTCAGCTCTTACGTATTTATTCTACTAGATGATACCACACGCGTTGTTGTGGTATTTTTTTAAATGAAATGCACAATTAGGTGCTACATAAATAACTAAAACTAACAAAAACAAAATTTAAAAGTATTTTTGATATACACTTTAAAAACATTAAAAATTATGAAGCATATAACAAAAGCATATGTCAAAGAGGAAAAAAATAGATTGCAACTAAAAGAGTGTCATTCTGAAATAATCTAAAATATCTACTACATAGGTATGCTCCAAGCGCCCAACACATATATCGTGTCCATGAGGGCACAAAACTTAGTGCGAGAAAATTAATTGATAACTTAAATGAATGAACATCATATGAGAGGGCAGTGCTGCATGGACATAGTAATGCAAAAAATGTAACCTATAAGTTACATGTATGACTTACTGATGTGGCATGGTTGTATGTAGTAAAAATAGATAACATGTTGTAGTTATTTAGCAATAGAGAAAACGAGTGTAGTTTCTAAAAAAAAGTGAAGCATCAACTATATAGGTATGCTCCAAGCATCCAACACATATACCATGTCTAAGGAGCACAAAACATAATGCAAAAAATTAACTGATGTTCTTATATTGCATGAACTGATGATGTGACAGTGCTGCATGCTGGAATTTTGTCTATTTTGGGCCTAGCCCAATTGCAGTTACAGAAATTCCTAATAAATCCTAGAGGCCCACGCCAGCCCATTCGTGTAAGGCAAGAGGTGGAACTAAAATTTGAGCAGTGCTATACACACGATAGTGGCGGACGATGTGTGCACGACAATGCAATCAGCTCCGTCCATTGCATGGCAACAGCAGACAGCAGGCCGCTAGATGCTTATCGTGCAGTGGTCGTGCGCATATTTGTCGTCTGCGAAGCAGTTCCGCTAAAATTTAGTCCCACATTGCTAGTTTAGAGGGAGTTGGACCTCTTTATAATGGAGGCTCTTTCTCCACATGTATGAGGATGAGAACAAGAGGGACACCCACGCCACGCCACGCCTCGTCACGTCACGACGCGTTGCGGTGCGAGTTGCGG